TGCTATGGCACTATTTTCAACACTGATTACAATGACTAAGATGTTGTACTATTTACAAGTTGTAAAAAATAAGGTAAAAAGAATAAGACCTTTGGCTTTGTATCAAGCATTAACCTGACAATTCTCTATACTTAGCTCTATATTTGTTCTAGCATGCTTCGTGTCATGCAGGTAGTTTTTCATAGTTTCGTAAAAGTTTCACTTTCCGTATACTTAATGTCCAGATCGTTCCAGAGTGTAACTCCTCCATAATGGAAAGACCCGCTTTGACCAGCAGAAGTTTTCTACAGTGGTTTTGCATTGAGTTCTGCTGTTCTGGCATGCCCGCGTGTATCTCGTTAATGAATGTCAGAACGTTTCGTGAATAACTCGCTCAAGCCAGCCTATAGCTAGTCCCGGGCTGTCGCGCTGAACACTGCCGTTTGTTATGTGTTATATGTAAGTTTATGCCTGCCCTGGATGTGCTGTTCCGAGCGCTTCAAGTTGAGTTCACGTAGCCTTGCAGATATATGGTCGAATTTTCCAATATTTGTTATTATCTTGCACGGAAAAATTGTTGTTTCTTCATTATGAACAGATGAAGTGTTTAACCAAACCATTGAACAAACCAACATTTTTTTTTCACTACAATTGCTGAGACGCTCAGATGGCTTCGTTCTTCACAGTGATTCACATTAATGTTATATTCGCATTCCGTCTGTGTTCGCCTTGAATCAATATCCGCTATTCGCATGTTGTCGTTCTTCGCAGTGATTCGCATTCATGTTATCCATCCATCCATCCATCCATCCATCCATCCATCCATCCATCCATCCATCCATCCATCCATCCATCCATCCATCCATCCATACATACATCCATCCATACATACATACATACATACATACATACATACATACATACATACATACATACATACATACATACATACATACATACATACATACATACATACATACATACATCAATAATAAGTGTTGCGGTATATTTCAAGCGTGAAGTTACTTAATAGATAATTACTGAGGCCAACGGCATTATTCGATATATTGCAGCCAGCTGAGGCCGAAGGCCGAAGCTGGCTGCAATATATCGAATAATGCCGTTTGGCCGAAGTAATTATCTATTATAATTACTGACTCGAATCAAAAGTAATTACTACGTTGCTGCTTGTTGGGACCGTATGACAATGAATCTATTCAACGTTACACTAGACATTTATGAGGAGATGCATGTAATGCATCGTGATAGAACAGATTTCAGTTTAATTAATGGCCCTAAATTAAAATCTCCACAAGCGGAGGTCAATTATAGTGTTCTAGTTTACATATTATCATTAATGATAAGGTTAATTCAAAGAGCGTATTAATTAAACTGGATAAACACGGGAATAGAACTTATGGTGTGTTCTGCACATGCGTATATCTAGGATAAAATCCCACAAGCGCAAACGAAACTATTTCTCTATAAAGTTGAGCTGAAAGGGCTCACAATGACCGTTTTGGCAGTGCTTCAGGCGTCCGATGATATTGTATGAGGGGCCTTTAGCACTGTCAACTTCTCATCTTGAGATGTTCACGTTATCGCGTGTACTTGTCAGGATGACGAAGGATGGCGAATAATGTCTGTGTGCACTGATACACGCTGCATTATTTTTAATAATGCTGTGTGCACGCTGCATTATTTTTAATAATGCTGTGTGCACGCTGCATTATTTCTAATAATGCTGTGTGCACGCTGCATTATTTTTAATAATGCTGTGTGCTATTTTAGCCCGTATAAACATTTACCCCTGGGAATTTCCCTACAATCAAAAAAGACCGCTCCCGTTTTTCAGAAGAACGCTAAAACTTCTCTACATTCGCTGATATAATGCAGAGAGAAAACAATAGGTTATTATGACCGTCAGTAATTATAACGAGGTATAGTCATGCAGTAAATTTGGTCATGATAAAATCAATAATTAACAATCCCAGATTGAAGTATAAAGTTCTGGTAAAAGTGTTTTGTTACGGTCTTCAAATAGATAAAATTTTAATTTAAATCTGTATGAATATTAGATTGATTATGGGGATGTGATTTTATATTTTGGTGGGGCGATCAATATCCGTGTGCGAACACTGGAAAATTTTCAAAATTTGAAATCCCAGAAATATATTATGAATTATGCAGAAGCACTTCTAGCCGATTAAGGGGCTGTTTACATGAGCACGGTTTGCCGAGGGCTGGCTCGCTTAAACGGGCGCCCGGCTTCATGGTAATTTCCAACACAAAGCAATTTTACTTTACATGACAAACCGGGCCAGCCCGTTTAGCTGGGATCCCACTTACCTCAAACGGGGCGCCCGGTCAGCCGGGATGAAATTTCTCCATGTAAAGTATCCAGCCCGGGCAACCGGGCTAGAACAAAAACTTCATTTAAAACAAAAATAAAGACAGAAACTGATATTTTTCTTGACAAAGTTTTATTTC